ATATCCATTATATATATATATATATATATATATATTAAAATACACTAAGTACGTCACTATAATTGTTATTTTTATGTTTTTGACGTAAACATTTAGGATATGTAATCTATATTTTAGTCTGTATGTGAACATTGACAAAGTACATTGTTATTTGATTTAGTGTTTGAATTAAATTTGTGACTTACCATATACATAGAAAGTCAGATTACTTGCTGTAATTCCTGCACATAAGAAGAAACGAGATACAGTAAACATCCAGTAATATGGAGAAAATGAACAAAGAATCCCAAACGTTATATGAAGCGCAAGTCCCGATATTATCACTGGTCTTCTGCCATATCTACGTAAATATTGATATAATCAATATGTATTTGAAAACTAAAACATTTTAATGAAATTAAAGACAAGTTTACAGACCTATCGGATATCTGACCAGATACAACAGCGGACACGAGGAATCCCACGAAGTAAGAAGAGCCAGCGAGAGAACTCAACCAAGATCTTTCGCAAACTAAATTCCACTGAAAATTTAAATAAAATTAATCATCGAATATATATTTGATTGAAAAGTTTTTATTGTTACCTTTTGAATGACACTGTTTTTATATTGTGAATGATCGTATTCCCACGAGCGACAAGAAATCTTTGAAAAATTCTTTCTATGTTTCACATCGTCAATATCGTATACTTCACATCGGCTATGCGATGTTCTCCCGTTTCTGATCTCCAGGGGTGCGCTGATATTTTTCCACTCTTCCACAGACAAGTTAATATATTTCGGTGTTCTCGCGCACCAATGATCCACCTTGTACGCCAAGAAAGGCCAATTTAAATTGTTTAAGGCCGTAACAATGGCAGACCACGCCATTATCCCTAATAAAATCTTCTGCCATCTTCCAAATGTACCGATAAGGTCTGTAAAGTCTTGAAATTCTTTTGCCGTTTCCTATCAAAAATATTCATGAACGAATTGCATAACTTTTTTGGCTATTATTAGAACTTATTCAGAAAATACCTTCTATAATTTTAATTACAACTTAAAACCTAATAATATTGCGTGATTTTAATACTTTTCCATGTTA